TTTTTTTTTCATTCATTAATAAAAGAACCGTAACATTAATCATCTAAAACTAAATTCCCAATTTTATCTAGATAATATGATTCAAAAATAATTTTGTTCTTATCATTTTTTTTATTCGATTAATAAGTTTAGTATTCTAAACCAAATTTCTGTTGTTATTCTAATGTTTTGAATAGATGACTTATCTATTCATAGATAAGTCATTAATGACGTTAAGAGATACATACCATTTTATTCTATACAATTTCAGTATCATACATTGTTGAAAAATTATCTTGATACTACCATAAAAATAATTTATTATTTATTCAATATAACAAATTAATTTTGCCTTCGGTATTAAGAAATTCAAATTTGTGAGAAATTTCTATTTTGAATCTAACTTTTTAAATAATTTAAAAAAGGAACAATTGATTGGATAAAGAAAATTATAAAAACAAAATAATTTGCAAATTTTATCTTATTATATTATTTAGGTGAAAAAGAGGTCCTCATAAAAAAATTAATGTTAGGGTTTTTTATCTCTGAAGCGTTAAAAAAAAAATTATTGAACTACATACTATTGTAGAATTTTTTATCTTATAGGGGTGTCAACTTTAATTTTCAAATGGCATTACTCCTAATTAACTAGCATATTTAATAAATCTAATTAAGAAATTTTCTGGTTGATAAAAACTATTGAACCAGTATTTCGTAAGTCATTGTCTATTTATATCCTGTTGAGAAAAAGAGTACGGCTAGGAAATGTTCAATTATAAAAATAACAGCACCAACTCCAGTCTATTATTTTTCGAGTAGTGTATTTATTTCGCGAGCAATCGAGAAATTTATGATATACCAATATAGGCCAGTCAACAAAGGAAAAATGGCGGAAAAATTCCCAACCAAATTTTTTTTTAAAAATAAGTTGAAATATGATATGTATAATGACCTTATAAAAGTCCTCATTAATTGGAATTGAGCTTTTTTTTTTACAGCCTTGCAAAAATTCAAAAATATGAGCTTTTTTATTATTTAAAAACTATTTAACTTACAAAAAAAAATTTCGTACAAAAGTTGTTTAAAAAACAATTTTAAACATAAAAAGAATCTTTTATTTTTTTATTTAAACAAATATTTTTCGAGTTACATTACATTTAATATGAATACTAAAATTTATTTTCCATTTTTTCCATTTTACGTTTACTTTTTATCATGTTATACTTATATTAGATACAATGTTATAAATGCATGTGTGTATGTGTGAGTATATTTATTTATAGTATCATTAAAGTGTAGTGTATATTAAGATACAACCTATAGAGTAAGTAATTGATTTGACGCTATATTGTTTAAACCCAACCAAACGCTTAATTGTTTTTAAACAACTTTTGTACGAAATATTTTTTTGTAAGTCATATAGTTATTGAGATAATTAAAAAAGCTCATATTTTTGAACTTTTGCAAGGCTGTAAAAAAAAAGCTCAATTCCAATCAATGAGGACTTTTATAAGGTCATTATACATAACATATTTTAACTTATTTTTAAAAAAAAATTTGGTTGGGAAATTTTTCCGCCATTTACCAAAATTACTCTGTCGTTGACAGGCCTAATAACTCTGTATATAACTACATTATTAAAAATATTTGTTCCAGAATTCATTCAAATTGTTAATTACAAAATTCATTATAGTTTTAATATTTTCTAAAGGTAATTAAGCTTTTTTATAAAACTTTATTTTTAGCTTCGGTGCGAAGCTGAGGAGGTATTAATTATTATTTTTATATTATGATGGGTTTTATTATTTTTTGAGATTGTTGCCACTTTTTCTCAGTTCTTACTGATACTTAACAATACGTCAAAAGATCACAAATAATTAATAAACTTCTCTTGTTCCCCCTAAATGGGGGAATTCTCCAAAAAAATTACAAATTTAAAAATCAGTAATTTTGAAATTTTTTCAATTTTATTTTACTTAAAACTGCTTTAGCTTGCTCAAAAATGAACAAATCAATATAATTTTTTTGTTGATGTATAATGTCTTTACCCATAATTTGGTATATTTTTTAATAAATCTGAATATTCACCTATCCACAGAAGGCGATTTAAAATGACAACTTTTCACAAAAAATTAATTTTTTCAACTTAACTTTTGAAAGTGTTCCGGAAAGTCTGATATTTTTATATATATCTTAAATTAAATCTTATGTAGGATACTTTCATATAGGGGAACTATGTACAGGGAACGAGAAAAATTTTTTCAATTTTTAAGGGTAATGTCTTCGACTAGATACGATTTGTGATCATTTGACGTACCGTAGAAAGAAATCGGTTCGGTGAGAGCTGTGAAAAAGTGGTAAAAGTCACAAAAACAATAACACATTATAGTAAAATTAATACCTTCTCAGCTTCGTATCAAAGTTAAGATATATGGATCAGCACAATCTTTTAAAGATAAATACTATTATATACCTCTTTTATTCGACATACTTGTCTTTCAAATAAAACCATTTCTCTTTATATATTAATATATTTTAAATATATTACACTTATAAATAATGAAACATGTAATCAGGATATAGATAAGGAAAAAGGAGATCATGTAGCTTTTGGAATAATACGCCAATTATTTAAAATTACACACTAACTACAGATTTGTATCGAAGCGTTTTTTATAATAGTGATTTTAATCACTGTCAGATATCATTATACTTGATCCAACTATACCTCGACACCACTGTGTCGCGACCCCCCTAGATAAGACAGTTTTTTTTTGAGAATGATAAATGAGATGATGCAAGGAAAATCTGGTAATGAGGATATGATTATAGAATGAGATATGAATGGACATGTAGATAATGTAGAGTATACGGAACAGTAAATAAAGGGTATGGTTGTAATGGGAAGAATTAAACTGGAGAAAGAATCCTAGATTTTGCAGTATTGTAAGGTTTTTATGGTTAATACTTATTTTAGAAAGAGGGTTGACACGTTTTGATGCAAATCTGTAGATAGTGTTTAATTTTTAAAAATTGGTGGATTATTCCATAAGCAAAATAAAACTCTATTTCCTTCATTATTCTGGAATAGTCGTTCTTTGATTTATAAGTGTAATAAATGAATAAATATTTACTATAGAAATTAAACATAGTAAGAGGTTGATATTTAATAATTTAGTATTGTAATTTTTACAGAGATATTTATAAAAATTTGTAGCGCTTGATACAAAACTTTTTAGAAAATAATTTATCGTTAATTATGAATAAATGGTCTACATGGAATTTGCACAAGAGTCAAAAATATACTCTGCATGATCAATTTTTTGCGCTAATTTGAAATTTGCATAAAGATTTTTTTTTATCACCAGTAATTTTCGATATTATTAATGTTAAATACGAGTATTAACATATCAAAAACTAGCCAAAAATTATAGGTTAAAATGAAGTTCAATAACACAACAACGGACAAATTTATTGATAAAAATTAGGCAAGGAATATTTTTCAATATTATAGAATACTATAGGATATAACTACACGGAATATTGATCTGAATATTTCAATTGTAGCATTTATTTAAACAATAAATGTTACATAGTAATGATCAATATTTCTATTGAAAATATTTATTACAATACGAATACCATAAAAATAATAAGTGATTTTATCGAAATTTTTGGCTTTTTTCATAAATATATTGTTAATAGAACTTATATGAATTTCTGACCATATAATATATGGTCAGGAATTCATTAAAATGGTTTTGTTTAGATTGATATCATCAATAGTCATTTTTTATTTATTAGTCATAAAATAAAAAAGATTTAAAAGTTATAATCTAATTGTAGATTTGAAATTGGCGTAAAAATAGGTTGAGACAAGTATATATTGGTGACTGACAAAAACTCCATGTAGTCCAGTAAATTTATTCATATGTAACAAACAATTTTTTTTAAGAATTGTATCAAGCCCTTCTATTTTTATACACATTTATTATGCAAGTAACATCTATTTTATAATTGCTCCGTAAAAATTTCAATACTAAATTATTAAATATCCATTTCAATCTAAATTTAATTACTATAATTTGTAATTGTTCATAAATTATACTTGTAAATCAAAGAACTACTAATAAGAATATAATTAAAGAAATAAGAATTGATATTACATTTGGAATAATCCATAATTTTTTTGTATTATATTAAATTAATTATACAATAATAATTATTGTGTTTTTCAATAACAATTATATATTAATTATTATCTTTTATTTTAAGATAGTAAATTTGTCAAGTGTACTGATGATGGAAAGTGTTTCGATTCAGAATGGCTATATAGACAACTTGCCGATATAAGAATTCAGTTAATGACGCTTAAAGAAGATGTTGCTCAAAATGTTATATCTGATTCAACACTTATTTTGCAATATTGCTATCTTTTACCTGGAGAAATTCCAGATGAAGAAATGCTAGAAGATTTCAAAGATATTAATCCAAGGTATTCACCAGAACAAATATTAAAGTTACGAAGCTATCTTGAAAATAATCATGAAAATATTTCTGTTGAAAAAGAAATGCGTGATGAGTTTTGGATTAAAGAATTAAATGATGTTGAATATAATATGCTTACAAAATATTATAAGCGATTAAATTTGGATCCATATTATAAAATGACGTTACGTTTTCATTGCACAATAATTTTTCGTGAAATCGTTGATATAAAAAAGAATATTGATGATAAGAAATATAAAATTTGTTTACTTTCATCGTATATTATTAATAATAATTATCATAATGTTGATGTTTATGATAATAACGTTAATAATGGTAATAATAATAATATAACTGATACATAACATCGTAATACTAATACAAGAGCTTTTATATTAATGTATTTTTTGCAAAGCCATTTTGATTTAAGTAATAATTTACAGAATATCAACTATAAATATGTTCCCTATTGCAGGGAATTATTATTAAAAATTTTTAAAAAATACAAAATATCAATAGTAAGGTTGAAATTTCATTCCTTCATTATAGTAGGATTCACTATAATGTTATTTGTTTGACGAAATTCGATCTAAGATTTTTTCATTTACATAGATAGAAATATAGTTTTATTGTATAAGATTTAAAGTAGTCTATGCATTTTTAAAATAATTTTCGACATTAAAAAAGGAAGCTGAAGGTAAAATAAAAACATCGGTTAATATTAATATTGTTTTTGAATGTTTTATCATAATTTCATCTACTATAATTAATTAGTTATCATATAATTTGTTATCATCATATAATGACTTTATTTTTACAAGTTTTTAAATCAACTATATTTAAACATATTTAGGCAATTTTTACACAATATAAGAAATGAACTTAAAAAAAAATTTTATAACAGATAGATCAAGATACATGTTTAAGTAAGAAAATCTAATTAAGTCGTTATTTTGAGAGGAATTGAGTGGCTAGTGTTAAAAGAAACTCCTGTGTATTGCTGTCTAATTATTATTAGTAATTTTTATTGTTGTCTGAAGTAACTCAAAAAGAAAGAATGAAATAAATAAAATGAAAGGTGTTGTGTTGAGCTATTAATTTTATTGTATTATTAATATATTACTCGAAGTATGAGTACGAGGGTTTGTAAGAAAGATAGAAAAATAAAGTGATCTTTATTTTATTAATATGAGATCAATTGTAATTAGTTGTCAACTCTTTAATATCAATAATGCCACGACTTTGACGATTCTAACCAGAGTAGTATAGTAGCTATATATAAACCTCTTACTTAACTCCTGAAATAGATACGTATTAAATATATCTCTGCCAAAAAACTCCGTATAAACATAATTGATTTATTAAATTTTTTTGGTTTATTTTGTATTATTGATAGTCACATTATTTTTATTTTTGTCTAGTTAATCTATGTACTTGTTATATTAAATTCTAAACCTTGTATATTTTTGGTGAAATTATTAGTCTCCTATCTTGATATATCCAATAATACACTGAAATAAATAGATGTTGTTTTCTTATGAAGTTATAACATAGACACCGCGAATCGCTTCTTGCAAATACTTCATATTTATACATATACTTCTTACATATATAAGAAAATAAAATGTAAAATGAGCAATTGAACGTGCTGATAAACTAAGAATAACTGACCTCATCTGAGCCAGAATGCTTCTTATTTTTGACTTTTTATAATAAATTTGATGGTTATTTCAAAGGCAAGAAGTGATTACCGATAATACCATTATTTCTTTATCAATCAAAATTTATGACATGTTATTTATTACACCAATGATCTCTATATTATAATATACTATCATTTCTTACATAATATCATAGACAAAGTTTATTATCCTACACTTAATGTTTTACCATTACATATTGTTTATTATTTTCTGTTTATATTATACAATTATTATGTGCATTTTTCCACAAAATTTCATTAGTATATTTTTAAACATTTAAAAGGTATATATATAGCTTATTTTTATTTTGATATACATGTCATGTTATGTGACCAGAGTCCTAAATAGTACATTATAACACTAAAAATATAAGAATTGTCAGCTAAATTTGTTCCACCCTTAATACTATTCTATATGAGTCTTATAATAAATTAATTGTACAATAATTGTGTTTTTCAATAACTATTATATATTAATTATTATTTTTTATTTTAAGATTATAAATTTGTCAAGAATAATTTTAATGAAAAGATTTTCGATTCAGAATGGTTATTTAGACAACTTGCCGTTATAAACATTCAGTTAATGACGCTTAAAGAAGATGTTGCCAAAAATGTTATATCTGATTCATCACTTATTTTGCAATATTGCTATCTTTTACCTGGAGAAATTCCAGATGAAGAAATGCTAGAAGATTTCAAAGATATTAATCCAAGGTATTCACCAGAACAAATATTAAAGTTACGAAGCTATCTTGAAAATAATCATGAAAATATTTCTGTTGAAAAAGAAATGCGTGATGAGTTTTGGATAAAAGAATTAAATGAAGTTGAATATAGTATGCTTGCAAGATATTACGAGCGATTAAATTTGGATCCATGTGATCAAAAGACGTTACGTTATCATTTCACAATTTTGTTCCGTGAATTTGTGAATATAAAAAAGTTTATTGATGATAAGAAATATAAATTTTGTTTAATAACTACGCCTACTGTTAATAATAATAATAATATTCATACTAATGATAATAATAACTATGATACAAATCATAATCTAACTATTACATGTAATCCTGACAATTATTTTGTGGAAATTCCTCCTACAGAACAAGTTGATTATTATGTTGAAAATGATGATGATAAAAATAATGATGAAAATCATAATATAACTACTACATGGAATACTGACAATAATTTTGGGGAATTTGTTCGTACAAATGATGATGATTTTGTTGTTTATTGTGATGACATTGTCTAATATTTGATTATAATTATTTTTCAATTTATTTTATTTTTATGTAAAACCATTATTTTTTTTTAATTATGAAAAACCAACAATAATTTGTATAATTCACAAATATATAATAATAGTATCTTATCAAATGATATAAAATAAAATAAAAATTTAACTTTAATGAATTGAATTCAATTATTTGTTCTTAGAGATGCTATAAATTGTTAAGTGTGTAATAGTAATATATTTTTATTTTTCATATTTTTTTATATATTAAAGTATATTAAGTATACATAAGCTTTAATTTAAGATTTATATAAAGGGGTCCGTATTTCCGAAACACTTTCAAAAGTTAAGTTAAAAAAGTAATTTTTTGTAGAAAACTTGTCATTCTGAATACTCTCCTGTGTAAAGGTGAAGGGTCGGGTTTAAAAAAAAAATACAAAATGATAGGTATTTTTCTTATTAAAAATAATTATATTGATTTGGTCATTTTTAAAGTTATGTCATAAAGTTAAATTTAAAAAAGGATTATTTTACAAAAATCGTATTTAGCTTCGATACGAAGCTGAGAAGTTATTAATTTTACTATGATGTTCTTTTTTTTGAGACTGTTTCACTTTTTTTCAGTTCTTACTGAATCGATTTCTTTCAGTGATGCCTCAAGATTTCTTACTATGTTTAACTTCTATAATAAATATTTATTCATTTATTATACTTATAAATCAAAGAACTACTAATCAAGAATAATGAATGAAATAGAATTTTGCTTATGAAATAATCCACCAATTCCTAAAAATTAAACACTATCTATTGATTTGCATCAAAACGTTTCATACCTCTCTACTAGTATTATTGTGATAAAAGCATCGGGCGCTCAATATACGAAAAATATGGCACAAAGCACCCACGCTTTTATCACAATAATACTAGTATTTTTCGTTCATTATTGTTTTAAGCTTATTTTAAAAATTATTTTTAACTTTTTAGTTCGATATGCTTTAAAAGCGAGTTTTTTTAGTTTTTTTAAACTATATTTATTTTTCACTTTTTAGTTTCATGTTATGATAATAGTTACTATCAATATCATGGTTGTAACGAGTAACGGGAAATCAGGGTTAGATTCCGGAGGGGAGTCTGAGAAAATGCTACCACATCCAAGGAAAGGAGCAGGCGCGTAAATTACCCATTCCCGGAACGTGGAGGTAGCGACGAAAAATGACGATACGGGAATTATCCCCCGTAATCGGAATGAATACTCTTTATATCTCTTAATGAGAATAAAGTGTCTTAATATATATTTTTAATAGTAATTAGAATATATATATACATGTAAAGCGACTTAAATACATAAACGTATAATGCACGAGGTATAGCTGTATTTTGTGTTCGGGCGGGGCGCGGGGAAACGTTGTACGCGAAGCATATGCGGCGGCTGTAGGAATATATAAACGAATATTTACATATATTTGTATATATATAAATATATACAGGCTGATTTTTTTATCATAACCCACTCAATTACTTACAGAATAATAATAATTAAAATTTTTTTTTTTATTACTATCTTTAGTTACACATTATTCTTGAATTATTAACTATGTAATACTTTTTAAGTTCATCCCTTATACCTGGTAAGGGTGTCAACTTTGTTTTTTTAAATGGTAACACATATTTTGAATTTAATAAAATGTTTGAGTTTTTAATTTAATAGTAAATGGCATTTGAATTTTTAGTATAACTTTATTTGTTTATTAGATATAAACATTTAAAGTTTCAAATTTTTGAGTTAATATACAGGCTGTTCAGTAAGTCCGGAAACGGGTTTCTGACTTACTGAACACCCTGTATAAGTATAATACACAAGGGGTTACAAATACAGGTANGTAGGTAATTGATTTTTTATGACATCGATATTAGCAGGTACACAGCATTGTTATTATCAATGATAGTAAGGTACATTGTTGTGAGTTTATAAATACACTAACTGACAATACAAAAAGTATATCTATTGATAGTCACTCAAACATTTNATGATAGTCATAATTGATAATAAACAATCCGTGACTGTGATAGCAATATCATAAAAAATCAATTAGCTACCTGTATTTGTAACCCCTTGTGTATTATACTTATACAGGGTGTTCAGTAAGTCAGAAACCCGTTTCCGGACTTACTGAACAGCCTGTATATTAACTCAAAAATTTGAAACTTTAAATGTTTATATCTAATAAACAAATAAAGTTATACTAAAAATTCAAATGCCATTTACTATTAAATTAAAAACTCAAACATTTTATTAAATTCAAAATATGTGTTACCATTTAAAAAAACTAAGTTGACACCCTTACCAGGTAGAAGGGATGAACTTAAAAAGTATTACATAGTTAATAATTCAAGAATAATGTGTAACTAAAGATAATAATAAAAAAAAATTTTTTAATTATTATTATTCTGTAAGTAATTGAGTGGGTTATTGATAAAAAAATCACCCTGTTTATATACATACATACATATATATATATAGTAAGGCAACTTAAGTACGTAAACGTGTCATGCACTAGATATAGCCGTGTTTTGTAGGCGGGCGGGGCGGGAGAACGTTATACCTGAGGTATAAACGGCGGCAGCGGCGGAAGAAATATATAAATATTATAAATAAGGCGTATGGCACGCGGGTGGTATTGGTCAGTCAAAAAAATTTGTTTATAAATATATATATATATATAATTGATGACACGCACGCGTACGAAAACCAAAAATATAAAATTATACAGGATTAGTGTTTTTGGTGTGAGGTGAACAGGGTGGGGTGAATGCGTTACGACGTCTAGTCTCAAGGTCATAGACGACGGAATCCACGAGAATAATAACAAGTGCCGCTTGGAAAGTTACGAACGCACATCACACAACACACATACATGTGAAACTAATATAAGCGTGTTAAAAACGCTTCGATATAAATCTGTAGATAGTATGTAATTTTAAATAATTAGTGGATTATTCCAAAAGCTACATGATTTCCTATTTCTTTATTTATATCCTGATTACATGTTTCATTATTTATAGGTGTAATATTATAGTGTTCCTTAAAATACAAATTTTCAAAATTCGATTTACGCGCACCAAAAAATTGTTCTAATACATGTAAAAATAAACTGTGGAAAATTTGGTCCCGATAGGTTGACGTTAACACGTGCCGCAAGAGGGTTGAAAATTCGATCAAAAGGGTAGTTTTTCAGTTATTATACATGTAATTATGTTACATAAAAAAGGTTATTAGCAAAAAACTCATAAGTCAAATATTTACCTCCTAAAAGTCAAAAGTTCCGTGAATATTATGTTTACCAGTAAAATTCATATATTTCGGCAATTTAAGTATATATGATGAACCGTTCAAGTTATAAAAAAAATTTTCATGTAAAAGTTATTTGAAATTTAATTTTCTATTAGTTTTGTAGAAAAATAAAATTGTTTTACGTGTTTTCTGGCGAGGTAATAAAGAAAANGATTGTTTTACATGCTTACTGGCGAGGTAATAAAGAAAACTTATAAATAAAAATCATTTTCTATGATAATTTAAAAAATAACGATTTTTTTTTATTTTTTCAAACTCAAATAAAATAAGTAAACCAATAATGAAATACTAAAAAAAATATGAAAAATGATCTTAATGCTCATAAAATATTATAAAATTAAATAATATTGTGGGTTATATCTTACAACACACAATTATTTAAATGGCGGTAGACTTTTATTAAACAAAATTATAACACTAAAATAGACGTATAAACACTAAAAGAAAATATATGTATATACAGTAAGGAAAAATAAAATAATCGAAGTAAACATAATACACGATGACAACAGCGGCGGGGTGTAGCGGTCGTGTAGCGTATCGCGGACTAGACAGTCTGAACTGAACTAACTGAACTGACTGATTCTTCCGATATATATATAGCTCCGATAAGGCTCTCGCTAATTCTAGAATATTCTATACCCGCGTAGGTTATCTTATGGCGTTATCGAAGTTTCTCGAAGGTTTTTGATAACGAGAACATTCGAGAATATTCGTTGCGTATGTTTTGGTCGCTACAATATTAAAAATAATTCTCTTAGTAGTCACAATATAAAAAAAAATTTGTTTTTGATAGGATTATTAATTGTTATTATTCATCAATGAATTTTTAGTACAATCTCAAAATTGTGATCTATAATCATTAACGACTTGTAGTAGAAACTGTTTTTGTTCATCATCATTAGTTAATATTTCATCATATTCTTGCATACGTTTTACACCTCTCTTTGCTATATTGTTTGTCACAAGAGGATTAGATAAAACTTTCAAACCATTTTGAAAATCAGGATTTTCAACCTAGCTATGAGGATGAGTTTCCAAAAAATCTATCAAGTTCTTTTTTTTAAATAGTTTAGTATCATTATTTAGGTTTATTGTAATTTTTTTTATATTGTTTTTGTGATGTCTCTCTTGATGCCTCAACCATTTTTCGTTTAATATCTGGCGGTACACTGTCCGGTAAATTTCTGTGTTGCAGCTGTAGATATAAAAGAATCAGGATAATTAATTAAAACTTTTAAGAAACATAAATCATTAAATGCTGATTGTATGGCAATAGATCCCTTAAACCAAGCCTTGACTTTTACCAAATAACACAAATATTACGAAATGCATGTTCTTCTCGTATTTTAAGCTGTTTTTTGAACATGTATATTTTTAACGAATAAATTGCTTTAGACATCTATCTAGCATGATGAAAAACACTAGGGTAGAGAAATTTTACACCATTAAGGGGTGTTGCACCCATAAAAATAACACATAAATTCTTTGTAGTAATTTCTACATTGTTGAATTATTAATGTTTCCAATTAAAATTTTTTTACATTATTTTTAGTGTGTTCAACTGCGTTTTTTATAATTATATCATTGATACCAATATCAAAATTCAACAAATCTAGACTAATCAAACATTCTTTAAATTTTTAAAAATTGATACATCTGGACCAGTTGTACATAAATTAAGTTTAACCTCGAAAACATTTTTTAGTACTAATTCCAAAATATGTCTACGACATGGTAAATACAACACATTACGCTCTAAGAGTTGTTTAAGCAATATACAAGCGTCATTTAAGCGACCTGTATTAGAAGCTGTCGTGTCA